AGTTAACTTTCAACACAAAAATATGGGCAAATGCATTGGGTAAAGCAACTAATAAATAAGCCCAGTACAGCCGTCACCTCAAATTTACAGTATTACAGCCACAAGTAATTAATGTACATTATCGATAATATTATTTTTTCCTTATGTACATATCATGGAAAAATTAGAAAAAAGAGATAAACAAAAACTTCAATTTAGTCTTGAAAGCTTTGAGATAAACTTAAAATTCCAGTTGAAAATGGTTCCTTAAAAGTTAACATGGCAACTTAACAGGTAAATTTCCCTTAAAACAAACTAGAGAGAAACGGGATTGATGCTAATGGAACTGAGGAGGGAATTAAACAGAGTATAAAAGCTTATTCTGCTACCCCAATCACAAAGAAATGTGGGAAACCAATCTAAGGTAATTCAGTTCATCACAAAAACACATTGTCCAATTGGAGGTACTGTGAATAATACCTTAAGGCCTGTCACAATAGATGGGAACAGTCTTTCTTTTATTCTTTTATTCTGAGGCAATCTCTTTGTGAAACTTTATTTGTATAGCTAACAATCTGGATGAGGGAGAGCTTGTGAGGATGTGTGCACCGTTCTCGTTGCCAAGGAAACTGGATCTTAATTTCTAGTGGCTGAATGCCAAGGAAAACAGGCTACAGAGGGAGAGAAGAAACTTCATATGGCTGAGTTTGTTGGAAATATTCCATGTGTTAAAGGGTTTTGCTTTGGATTTCACAATTGGAAGAGTGTAGCTCCCCACTTTTCTTCCTGCCCCACCCCCTTCTCTTGGAGTAAATGCACTACAAATAACAATTGGATTTTTAGTTGATGTAGCAAGATGGTGATTGTCATTCACAACATTTTTAGATTTAAAATAGAAAAAAATGAATGCCAGTCCTTCTTCAATTCCTGTGGAACTAACACATAATTATCCTTTTGACAGCTCAAACCAGCTTTTGGAAAAAGCCTATGGTTTCAATTTACAAGGTGGTTCTTGCCCAGACCTGGCATTTGTGTGCTCTGTGCAGTATTATTTAGTGGCTCACCACAGTACTACTTTAACTGGAACAGAAGAGGCAGAAAAAACTTAAGCATCATGTTCAAAAATACAGATGGTATATTGATTTTTTGCAATTTGTCTGGTTCAACTTGGGATTTGCGGGGAGGGTTATATTTACCTGCAAAATTATAATTTAAATGTTACTGATAACGTTGGATTCTTGAGCCCAAATCAATTGTAATCTATAAATCTGTGCCCAAATCATATACAACACACTAGAAAGAAATAGGCAAACAGAAAATGAGCTACAGGGAAAAGTTCTATGGAGGAATTGTGGGCAATGCCGTGCCCTTCCCAGCAGCATACAGATTCCTGGAAAAACTGACTAACCTATAATTAAACTTAAAGTAAATTTTGGATATTGGTGAATACCTTAATTTTCCTTCAGCCACATAATGGAGGCCAACCCTGAATAGGTCCCTTCCTGATTCTTACAAAGGGTTTAGTCTCCTTGAAATTTAAATTTGTTATCTTTGATTCTGCTTACTCCTTTCTTTGGTCTTCCTCTCTTCTGCACTGTTGCATTCCCTTGGAACCTTCTGGGTGACAAAAGGACCTAGTCCTTTTTGTACTTGGAGGTTCTGCAGCCAGCAGATAGGCAATCTAAATGAAATCAGCTGAGTCTTCCAGCAGCGAGCCACACGACAATAGTACAAAAGAATGTAAAAACGTGTCCTTATAAGAATGCTCCACAGAGAAATACCCGAACACTTCTGAAATGTATCTTTGAGAAATTGTTTTACTTGAGGAAAAATAAAAGCTCTTCTAAAGATCACCAAATAAAAGAAAACCAGGCTCCAAAAAACCCAGTTTAATCTTATCCCACTAGAATATAAACCTGTGGAAATATGTGTGAAGACTTCACAACTGCTGATTTATATATTCAACCTCTGTGTTATTAAAAATAAATACCTTGCAAACATGTAATATTTAATGGTGTTTTACATACAGAAGAATGGAAAATTTTATAGAGTTACCAAGTGTAAGGGCTAAGATATCCATTTTATGTATGGGAGAGAGTAAGGGATGAATTGACTTTTCTAAGAAATCTGAACTGATAGGTCTGTACTCTTGAACCTCATGAGACCAGCAAATATATTTCCTGTTAGTTTGTTTCTTTCCTTCACTGTCTTTAGCTGCCTAAGACAGGACCTAAAGGAGTTTAATACAAAACACAATAGTGTATTCTTCCTTAACCTCTAGATTGATGACAGTTCATTAGGAAAACTATGAAAATCATTTTCTGGAAAGACAGATCTAACCTGTAAGATACAATTAAAACATATTAAGAATTCCTAATGAAATGAGTCTATCTATGATACGCAAACAGAGAGTAGAAGAAGAAAGAACTCACAATTGTTTGTGCCTCAGAAGGTTCTACGTTAATTCAAACCCCCACAGAAACAGGCATCTTGAAGAGGTAGTTCTCAGCACAATTGCTTTTGTATACAGGGCAACAGTATTAGTACATTTGGATTCTCTGTCCATATTCACAAATGTGCTAGTGGAGTTGGAACCAGGGATAGATGCCTGTATCCTAAAGCTTTATGTATTCATTTGTTTTTAACCGTGCTCTCATATAGAGGTATAGCTCTGTGGGGTCATGTGACCATGGAATCATTCTACAGAAATGTCTTTCTTCTTGAGAGTAAAAAGTAAAGTTATCCAAGAATGACACTAACTTACTCTTTACTTGACTTTTCTATTTCCAAGTCATCATCACAATAAAACTGCAATGGCATGTTATAATGTATGTATGTATATATCTTGTTGCATATCATTACATTTCAGGATATTGTGATTTATTTTCATGAACTATGTTGTGAAGTGGGTGTATTATTCCCGTATGTAACATGACTACTATTGTTTGTTTGCTTATGTCATAGTATTATCTAATCTGTCAAAATTTATGTATCACACCTAATGAATATCATTTTCTTTGCTGGGTGTGGTCACTTGCATCTGTAATCCTGGCTACATTTGAGGTTGTAGCAGATAAATCACAAGCTGCCTCGGTAGCATAACAATTTTAAGGGCAGCCTGGGCTACACACTTCAAAAATAAACAGGGATGTAAATGAAGTTTACTGGTTAAATATTTTTCCTCCTCTTGTTTTACTTTTTATCTTCAGGGGAAACTCTCAACATCTAGAAAAATACTGAGTCTCCTGTCAGATTTTCCTTTCCATGTTTTGCACTCACCTCTTTCTTACGACTAAAGTTAAAGTAAATATTTGAGAGAATCCAAAAGTGCCATCAGAGGAAAGGAGCCATAGGTCCACTGATTCAAAAAAATAAAAATAAAAGGAAAGAGGAGTAACAGTTTTCTTAGTTTTAAAGAGTTGAACTTCAGAATCATAAAATTTTCAAAAAATAAATATTGGTAATGAAGCACAGGTAAGGGCCATCTAAACAGATTGAATCGGACACCTTCATTGCTTTGGCTGTGTGAAAAGAGAGGAATAGGTGGATTTGATTCCAGTATCAATGTAATGTCTGTTTCTCTTCTCAACAATGTCTTCCTCTCTCTCCACTCAGCTGCAGGTATATCCTTCCCAAAGCCTCACTCTCAAGAAGAAAGGGCATATTTGTCCATAGACAGGGCCTGCCTTCAGGTAAAGGCAAACTAGCCTGTGTGATAACCACCTACAGACTTTAAGGAACAGCACATTCACAGCATGGCACATCAAAACTGTTTTGTCACTGACCTTCTGACTAAAATGAAAAAGATAAGGAAGTCAACTTTAGTATCTAATAAAATTAACTGAGGTACACCAGATTTTGTTAATCTAGCCTATTGTGGGTGTGTGAATAACAAGTCACTCTTACAATGGAATTGTTGTCTGTAAGGGATAGTGCTGAGGATTTGCAAGGAGTGTCCGAAAGAACAAGAATCGTCTCTTGAGGCAGGTACTTGGTTATAATCTCAAGAGTGTCATACACTTTAACAGCCATTAGTTCCTTCTCACCAGAAAAAAAACTTCTAATCCCATCTGCATTTGGAGTATCTGATCTCATCCTATTACTTTGAGAATTCTATTTAAAGTTAACCGGTACAATTCAGAGTAACAAAGCTACTTTTACAGGATACTAGATCTTTAGTTCTTTCCCATCATTGGTAATTTTATGACCTAGTACAATGGAAGAAAGGCAAATTTTCTACACACATTATTTTGATAGTAGTATACAGCTACCCAGTCCTATCAAAAGAAAAAGAAGCTAGGTGTGGTAGCTCAAATCTGCAATCCCAATATGTAAAAGACCTAGGTCAGAGGACTGAAGACTGTTCAAGGTCAAGGTCAGCATGTGCTGCATATTGAGCTGTAGGCCAGTCTGGTTTAGAGAGTGAAGCTCTGTCTCATAGTACAGAGAAAGAGAGAGTGAGAGACAGAGACAGCAAGAGAGAGAGACAGAGACAGACAGAGACACAGAGAGACAGAGACACACACTGACTGACTTTAGGAACGACTTTATCCTTTTAAACTATTTTGTCTATTTCATCTAGATAGTCTTTAACTTTGCAGTGTTTGCATATATGCACATGGGCGTCTCACAAGCATGCACATGCCATGCAGAGGTCAGAGGATAGCCTGTGTGTCTTCTTTTCTATCACTCTGCTACTCAGTGGTTGAGACAGGCTCTCTCACTGCTTTGTCCAGACTAACTGGCCAGCAAGGAAACGGTATCCTTTTCCAGTCTCTAGTCTCCAAAGCTAGGGTAACAGTACATGTTTGTTTTTCATTGCTGTTTATTTTTTATCTTTGACATTGAAATATAATCACAACATTTCTCTCTTCACTTTCTTCCCGACAAACCCTCCCACATACCCCTCTCTTCTCTCCTCCAAATTCATGGCCTATTTTTTTCATTAATTGTTACTGCATGCATACATGTATACACACATGAATTCCAAAATATAACCTGCTGAAGTCATATAATGTTACCTGTACGCTGACTGCCTTTTAAGAAGGAATAGTAGTAGTGGTGTCGTGGGTGCTGGCAATTTGAATTCAGGTCCTCGTCTCACTTCAAGCTCTTTTATCCATTGAACCATCACCAGGTTGCACATGTAATTTTTTAAAATTTACCTAAGTAAACAGAGATCAAATTTACTTCTTCTTAGTGAGTTTAATATTGTCCTCTTCAGTGATACTCTATTGGTTGTCTGAGAAATGGGATCACAGCTAAAGCTGCTGCTAGCATTACCTAGCTATGCTCTGTGACATAGCTTCAGTAAAAAGGTGGAACAAACAGGAAAAGAAAACAGGAAGAAAAGAAGAGGCCATGTTTTCTCCTCTGGTAAACACCCTGATTCTTCAGTACATTCAGTCAAACCTATACAGTGAGCAAATGAAGACATATCTAGCAATAATACAAGAGAAAGTTGTTTTAATGATAGTGCTGTGTATTGTAAAACAGATGGGTAACTATTACCCATGCTAAATATATAGAATGAAACAAAAATCCCACACTAAAGGGAGGCTGAAAACCTCCTTTCAGATCTTAGTGTTAGAGAAAAGTGTAGAACATCACAATTTTGAACCAGATAATGTGAAGTCAAGCACACATACATTCTTCAGCTAAAACACTGGAAGGAATAGGAGGAGGAAGAAAAACGTGTGTACTTCCAAGAATCTCCACTATTTGAGCATCTCAATACCAAAGAAAAGCCATGGTAATAAATTTCTGAACCTTTCTAAAGCATAGCATTCCACTGGCTTAAATGGACATGTTTTCTCCCCCAATTAAAGATCACTATTGATGGAAGACAGGTATTTATCTCAGCAGTCTATTTTTCTAAATGGATTTGTTGCAGAGAATATGATGAACAGAGATTCTGTCATGTGATATAGAAAACTATTTTGGGACAATAATTTATTAAATATTTTAGTGACATTCTGGAAATAGAAGGAACTAGGAATGTCAATCCAGATGTTGAAACTAGACCCATATAATTCCCTACATGTTTTATACAATCAAATGAGACATAATCTGCAAATATTTCTGGCTGATTGCTACGATGTCATAGAATACCTTCCCTAATATTTCCAATACCAGAACTCCATGTAAGGGAATACTAAAGTGCAGAGAAAAAAATCCAAGAGGAAACAAAGGGAATGGTTGAAACCCATGACACTAAATGATGACACCAACAAAAGATGGTTATACAGCTCCAGATTGATCCATGGCTGGGAACAGTTACTTTCAAATCCACTTCTAGTGGTCTAAATTTTTTTTAACATTTCCTCGAGAATTGTGAATGCCAGTGTATTTATCCCATCATTTGTGATAAACACTCTCTGGTGAACATTACCAACTGAACTACACCTGTACTCCATACCAATAGGATCTTAAATTCAAATCATTCCAGTTAATCTTAACAGAGCTCACTGACTTTTTATAAGTGTATTTATCTTTATTTATACATATTTTTGTGTATGTGTGTGTGCATCCTTGTCTGTATATGCACAAGGCATAGGAAATGCTCCCAGAAGCCAGAAGATAGCATTGGGTTTCCTTGACCTGCAGTTATAGTCAGCTGTGAGCTGCCTAATATAGGTGTAGGGAAATGAATCTGGGTCCTGTGGGAAAGCAGGGAATGCTTCTAAGTCCTAAGCCAACTCTGCACCTGCAGACACATCTCCCAGGCTTCATTACCATAACATGACTTAAATCGTGGCATCCTAAATATTTACAGTCTCCATCATAGAAAAGACAATTTTTTAAATGAAAGGCCAGAGAATATCCCTTTTTTTGTAACATTCACTGATGAGTTTTCTCTATCATTTTTATAATCAAATATGCGATACTGCATTCTGTGCTGTGATTTGGCTACATGACTTACAATAAATGTTCATTTCTCTAATGAGTCAAAACTATTGATACAATATTTTGTGAATTTGGCTACCACACAAATTGAAACCTAAAATAACTCCTAACTCAATGCCATCTTCCAGACTGTTTGGAGACATTCAGTCACAGAAATGTCTAAAATTGATGGTTATAAGAGGAAGAGTACCCTCTCCCCAAGGTGACCACTGAGACTTGAGGAATGGAATGAATGTCAAGAATTGTTTGTGAGGCAATGTTACCTTACAGTGATGCCCCTAAAGGCAGACATGTCTGTCACTTCATTACCAAGATGAGTGAAGTGTTCCCAAATGTGAATGGAATGTTGGAGATGGTTTGACTAAAGCTCATCAACTGAAGCCCCCTGCAGGCAACCTGGAATGCTTAAAGAAATGTCCACTCAGTTAGTGACTTGTGATTTTCTGACTTAGTGGACGTAGCACATACACTAAGTGGTTATAACCAAGTGAGCATCAGTCTTAAATGTGTGATAACTGAGCATGGAAAATTAACTGCCAATAAGCAACAGGATCTCACTCTCCTCTGTGGAAAGGGTACTCCTGACCTTTACTACATTCTGTTTCTCTAGGGACAATTAAAGACAAAGAACATGATATAGACTTTGACTTAGCTTGCCCTATAAACAAAGTTTAAATAGCACTTTAGAGTAGTGATTTTCAACTTGTGGATTGTGACCCATGGAGGGTGGTGTATCGGATATTTACATTATAACTCATAACAGTAGCAAAATTACAGTTATGAAACAGTGATGGAATGATTTTATGGTTGGGAGTCACCACAACATGAAGAACTATATTAAAGGGTCACAGCATTAGGAAGATAGAGAACCACTGCTCTAAACATTCACAAACCCCTCAGTTCTTAGTGGAGGGAATGAAACTGAAGCTCAGGTATGCTGATTCTGTCTGTAAAGCCACAAGTCAGTCCTCCGTTCATTTTCACTCTGTCAATATAGAAGAAGATGCTAAAATTCCTTCCCCTGAATCTAGGCCCCTTATCAATTGTTTGCCTAAAAAGTATAGTATAAATGACATCCTGAGATGTTAGATTTCAGTTCTAAGAGGGATTACAGTGTTCCCAGTTATGTTTGGGAAATATATAGTGATCCCATTATATACCACTATAGTATAACTAAAGAGTTTCCTGAAGGAATACAAGGCACTACAGTCCTGGGCAAGTTGCCATTGCTAATACCATATGAAGTACATTTGAGCCATTCCCACCCTTTATGTATAAAAACAGAACACTGTTTTTGGAGAGGTGTGTTAAATAACAAATCACAATTGATAAAGGATTCCCAAATACAGATTATTTCTACTGCATGGTGCTGGCTTCCCTGTTACCTTAGGGTGGACACATTTGGCTGAGTTAAGGAGTAATAATTATGTAATTGTATATCAACGGAAAAAGCACAATTCAAAGGATTCTTATTATTTTTAAATGAAAGTGCACAGATCATTTAATTCTGCAAGGAAGGCATGTTTTTTAACCATTGTCTTATAGGTAAAAAAGTGAGGGTCAGAGATGTGGCATAGATGGTAGCTGGAAAACTGTAAGCCTGGGAACAAAATTATATGGTCAGTTTCTTGTATTTCATTCCTAAGCTGCTTTGCCTGGACTTTCTTGTCACTGACATTAAATATCATGAATAGATATATAGCTCAGTGGTGGAGTATTTGACTGCTAAAATGCACAATAGCCCCATATAGCTGTTAGAAGTACTTAATTTTTATAAACTAACATTGCATTGCTTTATCTGCAAGGCTGGGTTTTATACCACTGCAAGAGCTATCCTCATAGAGTAGATGTGGATAGTATATTAAATATTATCATTCATGTGCTATGAATGTGAGCTTGGGAACAGAACTTGTGTGGGATCAGCTGAAGCTTGTAAATAGAGAATGCCTATTTCAGCATGTGAGGAAATGGATGCTCACTGTTTTGAATGCATCCTGGGCTCTTCACCCCCTAGATATGGAAATAAAATAGCCATTTTATAGTTGCTGTCACATTTGGTATAATTGTTTTCAACTCATTGCAGTTTGATATCAATTTAAATACAATTGTGCAGCCTTTGTTCACAAAGGGTCTCTAAATATCAAGTCTCTACTTCCACAATATCCATATGCAGAATGTATTGTCTAGTAGATAGGAAAATAATTCAAGATGACCTGGTTATATGTCAGGGAAATTTAATAGTGTCACAGAAAGATAGAAGGAATGCTTCAAGCAGAGATTATCTATTTTAACCATGTGATTTCTCCTTTGGAGACAGGACAGAGTATGGGTGTGGCTTATCTAGAGAACCAGCTAGCAATTGACAGAGTAGTGGCCAGATTCTTCATTTTCTTATTCTTTGGTCAGGGCTCATTCTAACATAAACAAAAACCATTTTTTGAGGGGGAGAATATAACAAGAAATAGCACTAGTTAATATTGATGATTAACAGGCATCTGCTATAAAGTCAAAATAGATATGGCTAAGCCAAACTTCTTGGTCTTTGTATATGGGAGATAAATATAAACAGGAGACAAGTATCAGTCCCATCTTACTTCGTCTACTTTTCTAGAGTCTCCATCACTATAATCCCTGGTTCTAAGTCCATGCAGGACTTAAAGCATAAATATGTTTGAAGTCCTATCCAAGGTCAAATGAGGGTTTTTAATTGGCATATTGTGTGATCCAAGCCTCCCTTTGCCTTAAACAAGTCTGGATAGCAGAACACCCTTTATTGCCCATTATTAGCATACAAGTGAATATTCCTCCCAGCCACATTCATAATATTAGCACATTCATCATCCCAACAGAAACCCACTTGTGACTGCTTAGTACCCTGAGTATCCCACCACAGGAACATCTTAGACAGTCATACAGATTCAGTGAGTTCTCAGAACAGGCTAGATCCAACCTGGTGGAGTGGACTGAAGAGCATTGATTTGACTCTTCCCAGATCTGTCATCCTTAAAGGTAGCTGTGACTTACCAGTTAAGAAGGAAGAAGTAAACTTGAAAGATAGACAGCTGTATTGTTTTAGTAGTCCAATTCTATATGTGGATGTTTCTATTTATCAAATTGGAGGAACTTAGTCTATTGATATTTTGAGTCTTTGAAAAAAAGAACCCATTAAAAGTACCTTTTTTATAATAATATTATTATCAGTTTATAAAAAATCCTTTGTACTGGTGTTAGAAAATAAACAGAAATGCACAAAAGAGAG